TCTCCATGGCGATCTGGAAACCGTAATATGCCCTAGCCTCGGGAATCTGCACCTCCGTGGAGAACTGCGCAGCGAGGTTTTCCACAACGATTCCATCAGATGCAGCAAAAAAGGCCAAGACCTGCTTCACGAAGTGCTGTTCGCCCTCGTTCATCGTCACCCAGTCCTTGTTGTCCTGCGCCAGGTCGATCTCCGCCACTGTCCAGAAAGAAGCCTCGTGCTTCTTGTACATCTCCCAGACCTGGCCGTGCAATTCGCGATACTTGCTTGCGAAATTAAACACATTCGGCCTCGGAACAGACTCAGTGCCCCACTTCCCGGTGCTGCACCGGGAACATGGGCCAACGGCGAGGGTTCTCCTTCAGCAATGGGTCATTCTCCTCCAGCTGTTTGAATACCTCCGAGAGACAAGTCTTCTGGGCGTTAATTGAACAGGTGTGCGTCACCTCGGTTCTCTCCAACTCTGCAGCGAGAGCCAGTTCTGCCTTGTATCCCTGCGAAGCCATTTCCACGGAGCAGGCAGCAAAGGAGGTGGACAAGGCATAAAGACGACAAATGCCTCGACCCGAAACCTTCGCAAAGACCGACGAGCGGTTGCGACGACGCAATGCTGCACACAACTGCAAAAGAAAGCGCGGATTGCCCTACTCGCTCTTGCGCAAGACTGGCCTCCCTCGTGAAAGACTTTAACGGGGCGGTGCAGCCATCTTCCATGTCCGGTCTCTGGCATCCCCAAGAAGCACGATATGTTTGATTCTGCTGGACCACGACCACACAAACCATGCCTAGTAAAATACTAATCGGTTTAGCAGCTGGAAACAAACCAGGCATGACTAAACGGAAACCAGCTAGCAAACAGGCACGCAGCACTTTTCTTGCCAACCGGCTCCAAAGAGCTGCAGCCGCGCAAGTTTTCCTGAACTGAATCATTGCACCGCAAAACGACGTTGCAGGTTCCTCCGTCGAGAAAGTACGTCCTGGGTGATTCCTTGAAATACACGAAGTGTCTCTCGATGCACGTGCACCAATGGGCCACGTTCCTCCGGCCGCAAAAAGAGCAAGATGTAGGAGCCAGAACGAGTGGCCGCCAGCACGCCCCAAAGTGTAAGGCTTAGAACATCTGCTCGCCAGCTGCGATCATCCATGTTTTCATAGAATCGGAGCAAATGTAGCCTGTGCCCAGGCTGAGGGGCCCTGGCAACT